TGGTGTCTTGTTCTTTGTCAATTCATTCTGTGCACCTTGGACTTCCTCCTTCAGTATCATTGGCTCTTGATCATATGCTACCTCTTGAAATGGCTGAACATCAACCATTTAAACCAAATATCTGAGCTACTAGGTTGAAGACTTAGGACCATGGTCTTGGTTAACATTTAGGTCGATTAGTATAACACAGTCTATAAACAATATCCTACCTTGTCGAGGAGCAATGGGGATCTTAAAAGCTTGTGAGCAGCCACCTAATATACAATTATTGGTCTCTTCCTTTCAGGAGCAAAATTGAGTTAAGGAAATCAGAGACAAAGGAAACAATAAGTGCAAAGAAATAATGAACCATAGTCTTCATAATCCTGAAATCAGAACTAGATGGTGCCCACTACTAGATGCTCAGATCAGGATCACACTAGAAGGTCCAGGATAGAGTGCGAGAAGAATGTAGAACAAAAATCCAAATTCATAAAAAAAAACTTTACTAAGCTGAGAGACTGGTGGAACCCCTGACTCTATTACCCATAGAAACCCTTCAAACCTAGAACTGAAGCCACTCCCAGGGATTACCTTTCAGCCAAAGAGTAGGCATGCTTATAAGTGAACTGTAACACTTATGTGGAGTGTGCTCCTCAGAACCATATGAGACCAAATGGGCAACACATGCCCAAAAGCAAAGTTTAAGAGTTGAGTGAATGGAAACCTAGGGAGTAAGTGGGAAGAATGCTGTTACATTAAATGGATTGTAACTAAGGTCTTGAACTAAAATGGTATAAATTGCTAAATAGGAAGCTAATTTGCTCTGTAAACTTTCACCCAAACCACAATAAAATGTTTGGTAAATAAATTAAAAAAAATTATAGCCTTGATAACACTCTACAGGGTTGCTATGAGTCAAAACTGACTTGATGACACACAGCTGCAGCTGCAGAATTCATTTAGAATAAATGAATGGATCTTGTACTAAGTTGCATTACTCAGGTTCTTGGAGGAAGTTGTCTTTTTTTCCCCTTTGATATGTTGAAACACAAAACAACAGATAGAAGGAATTTTTTTTTTCATATTTTATTGTGAATTATATGATATTTTACATGAGAGAATTTTAGTTTTACATTCATTCCATCATATACCGTCTCATTGCCATGGTTCCAATCCCCTCCATGCATCATCAACTGACCAAAGGGTATACCCTATAA